CGCAGGTGGGCACCGGGGGGGGGCCGGGGCTCCGGTTCTCCAGGTAGCCGGGTGTCTGTCTGGCCGGTTGTCCAGCTGTCCGTCTGTCTGGCCGGTTGTCCAGCTGTCCGGGTGTCCGCATCTCTCTCTGCCCGGTTGCCTGGTTGTCCCGGTGTCCGTCTGTCCCGCTGTCCTTCTGTCCGTCTGCCCAGGTATCCGCATCTCCGTCTGTCTGGTTGTCCATCTGTCACGGTGTCCCTCTGTCCCGGTGTCCCTCTGTCCGTCTGTCCAGGTATCTGCATCTCTGTCTGCTCGGTTGCCTGGTTGTCCCGGTGTCCGTCTGTCCCGCTGTCCTCTGTCCGTCTGTCCAGGTATCTGCATCTCCGTCCGTCCCGGTGTCCTTCTGTCCCGGTGTCCTTCTGTCCCGGTGTCCTTCTGTCTGTCTGTCCAGGTATCCACATCTCCATCTGTCTGGTTGTCCATCTGTCCCGGTGTCCTTCTGTCCGTCTGTCCAGGTATCTGCATCTCTGTCTGTCCGGCTGTCCGGGTGTCTGTTTGTCCTGGTGTCCATCTGCCCCAGTGTCCTTCTGTCCGTCTGTCCAGGTATCCGGGTCTCTGCCTGTCCGGTTGTCCAGGTACCTCGTTGGCCATCTGTCCAGGTGTCTCTCTGTCCTGGTGTCTATCTGTCCCATTGTCCTTCTGTCCCTCTGTCCAGGTATCCGCATCTCTGTCTGTCTGGTTGTCTATCTGTCCCAGTGTCCGTCTGTCCCGGTGTCCATCTGTCCCAGTGTCCTGTCCGTCTGTCCAGCTATCCAGGTCTCTGCCTGTCCGGTTGTCCAAGTGTCTGTCTGCTCCAATGTCCAGTTGTCCCTTCTGTCTGTCTGTCCAGGTATCCGGGTCTCTGTCTAGTTGTCCAGGCATCCATCTGTCCTCATGTCCGTCTGTCCGCTTGTCCTTCTGTCCAGGTATCCGGGTCTCTGTCTGTCTGGTTGTCCGTCTGTCCGCTTGTCCTGGTGTCTGTCCTATCTCTCTGTCCGGCTGTCCTTCTGTCTGTCCAGGTATCCAGGTCTCTGTCCGGTTGTCCAGGTGTCTGTCTGTCCCGATGTCCATCGGTCCAGTTGTCCATCTGTCCAAGTATCCAGGTCTCCATCTGTCTGCCTGTCCAGTTGACCTGGTGTCTGTTTGTCCAGGTGTCTGTCTGTCCTGATGTCCATCTGTCCCGTTGTCCTTCTGTCTATCTGTCCAGGTATCTGGGTCTCTATCTGTCTGGTTGTCCATCTGTCCTGCTGTCTGTCTGTCTGGTCGTCCAGGTGTCTGTCTGTCCAGGTGTCCATCTTGTCCAGGTGTCTGTCCATCTGTCCAGTTGTCCAGGTGTCCATCTTGTCTGCCTGTCGGTCTGTCCGGTTGCCCAGGTGTCTGTCTATCCTGGTGTCCAGTTGTCTGTCTGTCCAGGTGTCCGTCCATCCGGGGGGATGTTCATCTAGAGGGTCCGTCCAGCTGTCCGTCTGTCTGTCCATCAGTCTGGGTGTCCATCCATCTGAGTGTCCCTCCGTCCAGGTGTCCGTCTGTCCAGGTGACTGCTTGAATCTCCATCAAAGTGTCCATCTGTCTGTCCATCTGGGTGTCCCTCCATCCAAGTGGCCGGGTGTCTGTCCGGGTGTCTGTCCGGGTGTCTGTCCGGGTGTCTGTCCAGGTGTCCGTCCAGGCGTCCATCTTTCTGCCTGCCCAGGTGTCCATCTGTCCGTCCGTCTGGGTGTCCGCCCATCCAGGTGTCTGTCTGCCCGGGTGTCTGCCTGTCTGGGTGTCCAGTTGTCAGTCTGGTTGTCCATCTGTCCAGGTGCCCATCTGGTTGTCTGTCTGTCCACCTACCTGGGTGTCCAGTTGTCTGTCTGTCAGGGTGTGCATCTGGGTATCTGTCCGGGTGTCCATCCAGGTGTTCATCCCTCTGGGTGTTCTTCCGGCCCAGGGGTCTGTCCGTCCGTCTGTCCATCGATCCAGGCATCTGTCCACACGTCTGTCTTTCTGGGTGTCCAGGTGTCCGTCCATCTGGCTGTCCATCCATCCAGGTGTCTGTGTACGTCTGTCTGTCCAGGTGTCCACCCATCTGGGTGTCCCTCTATCCTGGTGTCTGTCCAGGTGTCCATCCACCTGGGTGTCCATCTGTCTGTCCAGATGTCCCTCTGGGTGTCCAGCCATCTGAGCGTCCGTCTGTCCGTCCAAGTGCCTGTCCCTCTGGGTGTCTGTCAAGGTGTCTGTCCATCCCTCCAGGCACCCGTCTGGTTGCCCGTCCATCTGGGCTTCTCCCCCCAGAACGGGTGTCCGTTCCTCCGCGTGTCCGTGCGTCCATCCAGGTCGCGCGTCCTGGCGGTGTCCGTCCGTCCATCCATCCGCCTGTCCCTGGGGACCCACGGGCTGTGCATCCACCTTGGGGCTGGCGGGGGGGGAAATGCACCAAGCCTCCAACCCCCCCTCGTGCCTCAGTTTCCCCATCCCCAAAGGCACCAACCCCCCCCCAAATCCAGGGGTCACCCCCTCCCCCGGGGACCCCCCAAAATACCCAAAGGGGTGCCGGAAAGTCCCCAAATCCCAACACGACACCCAACTTCCCCTTCACCAAGGGCGAGGGGACACATGGGGACAAGGACCTTCCCACCCGCTGACGCTCTCTTTCCTCTCCCTCGCAGGCTGCCACGGCCGCCCACATGCTGCTGAGCGCTGGTAAGTCCCCCCCCAGGCCTGAGGCCACGGTGAGGGGCTCCGGGGAAGGTGGCGGTGGTGGTGGTGGTGGGGGGGTTAAGTCCTTCCTTAGGCGGCTCGCCCAGTCATCTCGAAAGCTTCGCGCGGGTTCCTCCTTCCGCCCTCGGAGAGGAAACGTCATCCCGGGCTTGGAGCATCTGGGGGTGTCACAGGGCAGCTGCAGTGCCCAAGGTGTCATGGAGTGTCCCCGAGGTGTCACGGAGCATCCTCCGTCCCTGTGGTCCCCAGGGCATCACGGAGCATCCTCCATCCCTGTGGTCCCCGGGGTGTCACAGAGCATCCTCCGTCCCTGTGGTCGCCGGGGCGTCACGGAGCATCCTCCGTCCCTGTGGTCCCCAGGGCGTCACGGAGCATCCTCCGTCCCTGTGGTCGCCGGGGTGTCACTTAGTGTCCCCAGGGTGTCACGGAGCATCCTCCGTCCCTGTGGTCCCTTGGTCCCATCCCAAGTACCCCTGGGTGGGCTGTGGTGGCCAGGAGCATCGGGGAGGCCCTCAGCACCCATCTCCCATCAGGGGCACCCACTACCAAGGAGAAGCACCCGCTTCCCATTGGGAGCACCCGTTACCCCATGGGGACCCCTGTTTCCCATTGGGGTCACCCATTCCTCAATAAGGACCCCCCATCTCCCATCGGGGTCACCCATCTCCCATCGGGGTCACCCATCTGCCATTGGGAGCACCCATCACCGACCAGGAGCACCCATCACCAACCAGGAGCACCCACCACCCTTCTCCCTTCTTCTCCCTCCAGGCTCGTTGGCGGTGCCCTCGAGACCCATTTGGCGCTACGAGGAAGGCATCAACGGCGTCTTCCTCAGCGGTGACGTGCAGGTGACAGCCGGGGAGCTGCGGGTGACAGCGGGTGGCCTCTACCTCCTCTACGCCCAATTCGCCCTCACCTGCACGGAATCCTCCTGTCCCTCCGGCACCGTCACCCTCCAGCTCCGGCGTGCCAATTCGCCGCGCCCGTTGCTCACCGTGCCGTTGACGCTCCCCGAAGGTGCAGGATCCGACCTGGTACGTTCTGGTTTGGCCCAAGCCGTTGGGCAGCTCCAACCTGGAGATGTCCTCAGCTTGAAGCTGGACGGGGACGTGGACGGGGACAGGTGGCAGCTGGCACAGGACGAGAGGGAGGGGAATTTCGTGGGGTTGCTGCGTATCGCCGGCGGGTGACGCGTGGGGTGGCAGGGGGTGACCAGCGGGGTCTGGGGCTGGTCACCCTCCTGGTTGGAGGCTGGAGATGTCTGGGGACACTGCTGACCTCCACGCCTGGAGATCTGGGTCCCAAGGCCCCCACGCCTGGAGATTTGGGGACATCAAGGGACATTAAGGGACATTGCTGACCTCCACGCCTGGAGATCTGGGTCCCAAGGCCCCCACGCCTGGAGATTTGGGGACATCAAGGGACATCGAAGACCTGGAGATGTGGGGACATCAAGGGACATTACAGAGTTCCATGCCTGGAGATTTGGGGCTGGTGACCCTCTTGCTTGGAGGTTGGGGACATCAAGAGACCTTGGAGACCTCCGTGCTTGAAGATTTGGGACATTAAGGGACATCGCAGACCACTGTGCTTGAATATTTGGGGCTGGAAACCCCATGCTTGGACATTGGGGACACCAAGGGACCCTGCAGACCTCCGTGCCTGGAGGTTGGGGACATCAAGGGACCTTGCAGACCTCCGTGCCTGGAGGTTGGGGACATCAAGGGACTTCACAGAACCCCAGGCTGGGGACATCAAGGGACCTTGGCCACCCCCGTGTTGGTCATTTGGGGACCCCAGTGCTGGACACTTGGGGACACCAAGGGACCTCACGGCCCCCTGTTTTGGGGACATTGGGGACCGCAGAGACCCCCGTGCCCAGAGATGTGAGGGGGCCCTGCTGGTCCCACCCAGATGTGAGGGGGTCCTGCTGGTCCCACCCCCCCCAGCCGGCCTGGGGGACCCCTCCCCCCCCTAAATTATTATCCGGCGCTCGGAGCCGCTTTATTTATTGATTAATAAATTTATTTATGGTTCCCAGGGTCCCAAAATGACCTTAATTGTCCCCAAAAAAGGGGGACAGCCCAGAGTCCCCTGCCCAGGGGCGTCACCGGCCCGGACGCCTGCGTTTCCACACGTGCTGCATGCGTGTGCAAATACCCGCACACGTATGTGTACACGCACGCACGCGCGGACATGCAAATGCACGCGTGCGTGCATGCGTATTTCCGTGCACGCACGTGCGTGCACGTGCGTGTGCAAAAGCAAGACCGGTTGCAAATGCACATACGTATGCAAGGCACACATGTGCAAATGCACATACACAGGTACATGCACATACGTGTGCAAATGCAAACGCACGTGTAAAAGCAAATGCACGCACGTGCGTGTGTGCAAAGGCCTGTGCAAATGCGCATATGTGTGTGCATGCACACGCGTGTGCAAATGCAAACGCACGTGCGTGTGCAAAAGCAAGACCGGTTGCAAATGCACATACGTGTGCAAGGCGCGTGCATGTGTGAATGCACACATGCGTAAATGCACATACACGGGTACATGCACACACGTGTGCAAATGCAAACGCACGTGCAAACGCCCATGCAAACGCAAATGCGCATACGTGTGTGCATGCACACGTGTGTGCAAATGCAAACGCACATGCAAACGCCCATGCAAATGCGCATACGTGTGTGCATGGACACGCGTGTGCAAATGCAAACGCACATGCAAACGCGCATACGTGTGTGCATGGACACGCGTGTGCAAATGCAAACGCACATGCAAAAGCCCATGCAAACGCAAATGCACATACGTGTGCAAATGCAAACGCACCTGCAAACGCAAATGCGCATACGCGTGTGCATGCACACAAATGTGCAAATGCAAATGCACATGCAAACGCCCATGCAAACACAAATGCGCATACGTGTGCGCATGCACACGCGTGTGCAAATGCAAACGCACATGCAAACGCCCATGCAAATGCGCATACACGTGTGCATGGACACGCGTGTGCAAATGCAAACGCCCGTGCAAACGCAAATGCGCATACGTGTGCGCATGCACAGGCGTGTGCAAATGCAAACGCCCGTGCAAACGCAAATGCGCATACGTGTGCGCATGCACAGGCGTGTGCAAATGCAACCGCACATGCAACCGCACATACATGTGCATAAGCACACGCGTGGGCACCCCCGCCCCCGTGCCCCACTTTTTTAGGTGCCGCGGTCCCGCTGCTTAGAGCAAGAAAAGGAACCCAGGTGTCCGGGTTTTGCAAGGGGGGGGCTCAGCACCCACGGCCCCCCCAGTCCCAGCCCCCCCGTGGCCTAATCCGGCCTCCAGCAGCAGGAAATCCTCCCCGTGCGACGCTCGC